GTTTTCCAGCGACCCACGTATCATGTATAAAAATGATTTAGTAAAGCCTAATTTTGTAATTCAGATGCTATGTATTATAAATTTACTTATTTATTACATAAATTTAAGGAATTTTAAAAAAATCAAAAATAATTTCCAAACTACCCTCGTCTAAAAAATAATTAAAATAAACGTTATGTGATAATATTATAATTTAGCTTAAAAATATTGCAAATTTATGAAGTTTTCCTAAAAACTATTTAAATAATTTTCAATTGACCCTCGTATGATGAGGCAAAATGGTTCAAATCAAGCCTTGTATTGACCAAATTCTAATTTAGCTTGAAAATTTGACAAATTTATGAAATTTTCCAAAAAAAATTGAGATAATTTTGAAACTGCCCTCGTATAATGAAGAAAAGTGTTTGAAATCAAGCCTTATTTTGATTAAGTTATAATTTAGTTTTAAAAAAATTATAAATTTATTAAATTTTTCTCAAAACATTCCAAATAATTTTCAATCGACGGTCGTGTGATGAAGACAAATGGTTTAAATCAAGTCTTATTTTGATCAATTATAATTTAGCTTAAAATTTTTACGAACTTAAGAAATTTTCAAAAAAAATTAAAGTAATTTTCAAACTGCCCTCGTAAATGAAGAAAAATAGTTTAAATCAAGCCTTATTTTGTTAATATTATAATTTAGCTTAAAAATTTTACAAATTTAAGAAATTTTCAAAAAAATTAAAGTAATTTTCATTTTCAATCTACCCTCGTATATTCAAGAAAATTTTCTAAATCAAGCCTAATGTTAATCAAATTATAATTTAGCTTCAAAATTTTACATATTTAAGACATTTTCTTAAAAACTAACTAAAATAATTTTCAAACTACCCTCGTATGTGGAACAAAAATGGCTTAAATTCAGTTTTATATAGATCAAATTATAATTTAGCTTAAAACATAGACAAAATTTATGAAATTTTTTAAAAAAGTTTAAGATAATTTTCAAACTGCCCTCGTATAATGAAGAAATTTTTTTAAATGAAAAATTATTTTGATTAAAATATAGTTTAGCCTAAAAATGTGACAAAATTAAAGAAATTTTTCAAAAAAAAATTTTAAGTAATTTTCTAACCACCCTCGTTGTTTGATAGAAAATAGAAATAGAAATTATTTATTAAGGCTAAACTTTTAAAATTTTTATAAAAATTCTTTAATTCTTAAAAATGTTTGTTTTTTGGTAAGAATTTAGATCAAAAGAAAGTTTTTATTTCTTTGCCTTAAAACTTTTCACACCACCCTCCTGTTATTTGATTTTACAATATTCTCTTTAAGTGTCTACTAGTTACTGGTCTTTTCGTTTGCTACTGCATGCTAAATTTAGTTCTATTTTTTTTTAAGAATGTTTATGTTTTTTTTTGGTTGATTCTTTTTTTGGTTTTGAGGCCGTTTAGTTTTGGTTGCTGGTATTGTTGTTGTTGTTGTTTTTGCTGATGTAAATTTTGTTGTTTTTTTTATTATTTCGCCAGACATTTGCCAACATGTGAAATAACAAAAAAAAAAAGAGAAAAAACTAAAAACAAATACAAAAACTTTTTTAGTGTGTTTAAATAATTTCGTCGGTTTAATTTAGTTTGTGGCCCGGCCCGTTCGACACAGTATTGTTTGATGACGTTCGCGATCGTTGATATTTCATTTTTTCAAAATTATCAATCTTGTTGTTTTAATTCTTATTAGTGCCCCCATCTAAAGTAAATTGGGTTCTTTTATATAAAACGTCATTTTTAAAAGATTTCGTTTTGCTAAACTGTTGTTGTATGTCGTTTAAACCTCGCTTTAGTAAACAACCGTTGATGTCTTTATAAACGAAACGTGTTAATTGTTTGTTGTTGTGTTTATTCTGCAGAAATTTCAGTTAAAATTTTGTGGTGGGAATTTGTGCTCTCTTTGCTTCCCTTCCCTCTCCGTTTAAAAGGGGTTCGCTCTGTTTTTAACGTGTTTTTTTGATTTCAAAGTCAAACTTTTGTTGGTATTTGTGGTCTTTTTTTTAATAAAAGTCATTAACTTTTTAAAGACTAAAAAACAATAATAATAAAAAACATTTTATAATTGTTTTATAAACACTTTATAATGTTATTATCTAGTTAATTGCTGTGTGTGTGTGTGGTTGGTTGGGTGTAAATATGTGAAATTATGAAAATTTAATAGGAAAACATTTAATTATAAATTTAAAAGTAAAATTTTTGTTTTATATTGTCATAAAAAAGCAACAACAACAACAAAAGTAAAGAAAAACAACAAAAACATGCAATTTTTTTTAAGCAAAAGTAAAGAAAAAGAGTCAATGATCTCTTTACAATAAGAAAAGTAAAGCAAAACAATTGCAGTAAAATAACAAAAAAAATCTTAAAAAATAAAGCAGGAAACAAAAAAAAAAATAAACAAAATTCTTTAAAAAAATTTAAACAAAATAAAATCTATTAGAAAAAATTATAAAAAAAAACTTTTTTTTTTTTAAATTGTCTTCAGGAAACTTTTCCCCTTTTATTATTATTTGTTTATAAAAAAGCTCTTTTGTTTATTTATAATAAATTTATTAACTAAATAGCTGCATTATACACACCCGCTTTTATCAATATATTCTACACTACATGATATACTGCTGGGTGCTGCTACACTAAACCACCACCGACTGCCCACACAAAAAAATTCTATAGAAATGTCATTGTTTCGCTGTTAAAAATGATTTCATATTGAAAAATTAAATAAAACAAATAATAATAATAAATATATAAAAATGTATTTATTTATTTAGTTACTTCAGAGTCAAGCGTAATAAATTGTATTTCAAATTAATGGGAAAAATACAGGGTGTTGAGTTGGAAAAATAGAGGAAATTTCGAATGAAAACAAAAATCTTAAAAATTTTGCTAAACTATATGTTTTCATGTTTTTTTTCCAAAGCATTTTAAAATTTTTCATTAAAAAGCTTTTTTTAGAATTTTCCATTAAAAAGCTTTTTTTTAAATAATGTTGTTAAAAAAAGCTTTTGTTAAAAAGCTTTTTAAGCTTTTGTTAAAAAGCTTTTTTAAAGTTTTTGTTAAAAAGCAGTTTTAAAGCTTTTTTTAAAAAGTTTTTTAAAGCTTTTGTTAAAAAGATTTTTTTTGTTAAAAAACTTTTTTTTAAGCTTTAGTTAAAAAGCTTTTTTTTAATAATTTTATTAAAAAGCTTACAGCTTTTGTTAAAAAGCTTTTTTATAGCATTTGTTAAAAAGCTTTTTATAGCATTTGTTAAGAAGCTTTTAAAAAAATTGTATTAAAAGCTTTTTGATAGATTTTATTTAAAAGTTCTTTGGATGATTTTATTAAAAAGCTTTTTTAAAGCTTTCATTGAAAAGCTTTAATTAAAAAGATTTTTAAAGCTTTTATTAAAAGATTTTTTAAATCTTTTATTAAAAAGCTTTTTAAAGCTTTTATTAAAAAGCTCTTATTAAAAAGCTTTTTTAATGCTTTATTTAAAAAGCTTTTTTAAAGCTTTTATTAAAAATCGTTTTTAAAGCTTTTATTAAAAACCCTTTTCAAAGCTTTTATTAAAATCCGTTTTTAAAACTTTTATTAAAAAGCTCTTTTAAAGCTTTTATTAAAAAGCTCTTTTAAAGCTTCTATTAAAAAGCTTTTTTAAAGCTTTAATTAAAAAAGCTTTTTAAAGCTTTTATTAAAAACTTTTTACTTTTTTAAAACTTTTAATAAAAAATTTCAAAAGCTTTTAGAAAATCCTTAAAACAGTAAGCCTTTTTTAAAGTATTATAAGCGAAACTTTTCTATAAAAAAGCTTTTTTGAGTTAATTAAAACGGGTTTAAAACTTTTATTAAGAAATTTTTACAAAATTTTATGAAAAGTTTTATTATAATATTTTATTTAAACTTGTCTAAGAATAAGCTTTCTTTATAAGCTTTATGATTCTATTAAAATCAAACATTTTGAAAGAAAAATTTTTTCAACTGTAAAGCTGTAATTAAATCATTGCGTTTGTTAAAACGATTGTTTCTTCTTTTCAAAATATCTTGTTAAAAGCTTTTCTGAAACGATAGTTCGATAGTTTAATAGTTTTTCTAAATTATTTTTTGTTAAAGCTTTTTTAAACGAAAAATTTTCTTAAAAGATTGTGTAAATGTTCTTAAAAAGATTATTTAAAAGCTTTTTAAAAGGTTTTTCAAAAAACTTATAAGAAGCTTTTTCAAAAAGGTTATTTAAAAAACTTATTTAAAAGCTTTTTCAAAAAACTTATAAAAAGCTTTTTCAAAAAACTTATAAGAAGCTTTTTCAAATAGCTTATTTAACAGTTTTTCCAAAAAACTTATTTAAAAGCTTTTACAAAAAGCTTATTTTAAAACATTTCAAAAAGCTTAAAATAAGTTTTTCGAAGCTTATTTAAAAATTTTTCCGAAAAGTTTTTTAAAAAGCTTTTACAAAAAAACTTATTTAAAAGCTTTTCCAAAAAACTTATTTGAAAGCTTTTTCAAAAAGCTTATTTGAAAGCTTTTCCAAAAAGCTTATTTTAAAGCTTTTGCAAAAATCTTATTTTAAAGCTTTTTCCAAAAAGCTTATTTTAAAGCTTTTCCAAAAAGCTTATTTAAAAGCTTTTCCAAAAAAGCTAATTTAAAAGTTTTACCAAAAAGCTTATTTAAAAGCTTTTCAAAAAAGCTTATTTAAAGACTCTTTCTAAATTTTTAGTTTAAAATGTTTTCTACAAAGCTTTTCCAAAAAAGCTTTTAATTAACAATATTTTGTTTTTGCAAATCTTAAGAATTTTTTGCTGTATTGAGAGGCAACACCCTGTATTTCATTGTTTCAACTTTCTTATCACTGCAAGATTGCAACTTACTTGAGTCTAGCGAGCAAGATAAACAGTAAAAGAGAGAGCAATTTGTTTTAATTTTACAACTTAAAGAGAGTTTAACAAAAAAAAAACCGTATTTTTATGATTAATTAAATTAAATGAAGTGAAAAAAAAATAACAAACAGTTCACAATTTGCTGTTCAAACAGCAAAGATGCAAAACACCAACAACAGCAAACTGTAGGAAGAAGCTGCAAATAATTAACGCCTTCGTTTAAATATTTTTATTAGATTTTTTTTTAATATTTAAAAAAAAATTTCGCATATGCACGAAAAAACTGACTAACGCGTGGCTAATTTGAATAGAGATAAAATAATATTGCAAACTACAATGCAACACTTAAAGAGTGGCAAGTGGCATGTAAATGCTAAATGAGTTAAATGCGGGAAAAAACTAAAAGATTTAAAGAAAGCAAACGGAAAATATTAGTTTTTTATTTGTGGGCAAAATTAAATTTTAAAATTACAACACCAATGTTTGTAAAAAGCTCCATGGCTGACAGTGTAGTGGATGATGTTTTAAAAGATATTTTAAATTTAAAAAATAATTGTGTTAGTATTAAAACAAAAATCAATTTAATAAAAGAATTTAAACTTAATTTAAGCTTTTTGTAAAAATAACAAATATTTTAATAATTTTCTTTTTTTATTTTTGTAAATTTCCAGCTGGAATTACTACAGCGTCAGGTGACAGATTTAACGGATACAAAAACTACTGTCGAGGATTTAACCTCACGCACAAAAACCGAATATGCGGTATTGCAGGCACGCTATCACATGCTGGAAGAGCAGTTCCGGGAGGTAAGCTTGCTTTTCTACTTAATAAAAAGCAAACGTTTTCTTATTTTCCTTCTCTTTAGGCTGAATTTCGTGCCGAGGATCGTTTAGCCGAAGAACAAAAACGCCATCGCGAGCTTTTAGCTCGTGTAGAGCGTGAGGCTGCCTTACAGAATGAAAACTGTCAGATCAAAATCAAAACCATAGAAATCGAGGCCAATGCTTTGCGTGAGGAGAATCAACGTTTGCGTGTCCTATGTGACAAACAAGCCAATGATCTACATCGCACTGAGGAGAAATTTGAACTGGCTAGAGATCAAATTGTGGCTCTGCAACAGGATCTCGATGAGGCTTTACAAAAGGAACGTAAATATGAAAAAGAAAAGAAAACTTCAGAAGAACTAATGCTGGAGTTAAGTAAAGAATTGGAACGTTTGAGGGCGGAAACTGGGCCGGCCTTGCCCACCACCTCACCCGAATCCATAAGACTGGAAGAACTACATCAGGAGCTAGAGGAAATGCGTCAAAAGAATAGAGGTTTGCTTTCATATATCCCATAAAAAATTCCAAAAATATAAACATATTTTCTCTTACAGCTTTAGAAGAACAAAATGAGGAACTGCAAGCTGCTGTTTTAACTCGTGGCGTGGAGGAGGGTCGCCATTTGTTGAATGGCACTTTAAATAGTTTGGCTCAAGAATTGGAAGAAATGTCACAAGCTCAGGTATGTTTAAACAAATTTAATTTTCCCCTCTTCTATTTGAATTCAATTAAGCAAAATAAGCACTTATTTAGTTAGCACTACTTTTTCTGTTAACGCTTTTAGCTTCTCAAAAAAAGCTTTTTTTATAATTACCATATTACACCTACAAAAAGTTTGAAAATATTGGCTACGTAGACCGTTTGTTAAGGCTGCAGCTTGCATGTTTTGTTATTTTTTACTTAATTTTAAAAAATTATTGCTTCACAGCTTTTATACTAAAAAAGGCTTTTAATATTCTCTATTGATTTGCATGATTTTTAGTAATTTCAGTGACATTTACATCATTTCTGTTTTGAAAGCTTTTACTGAAATGTTTTAGTTAAAACTTTATTACACTTTTATTTAAAAGCTTTTATTAACTTTAAACAGGAAGATTTTTTAAGCTTTTCTTTTCCCAAAATTGTTTATAAAGTCGATTTTTAAAGCTTTTATTTAAAAGCTTTTTTGACACCTTTTTATTAAAAAAGCTTTTGTAGCAGCTTTTTAAAGCTTTTTTTAAATTTTTTGTTAAAAAAGCTTTTATAGCAGCTTTCTAAAGGTTTTATATTAGCTTTTTAAAGCTTTTATAGCAGATATTATTGAAAAGCCTTTATAGCAGCTTTTTATTAAAAAATTTTTATAACAACGTTTATTCAAAACAGTTTTTGTCGCCTTTATTAGTAAGCTCTTTATAGTTATTTTTTTTAAAGCTTTATATAGCTTTTTTAGTAAAAAACTTGTCTAAAGCTTTTATCAAACGTTTTTATTTAAAAACGTTTTAATCTAAAGTTTTTATAAAGCATTTATTTAAAGCCTTTTATTAAGCTTTTATTTAAAGCTTTTAGTAAAAAGCTTTTTAAAGCTTTTATTAAAAGGCTTTTTAAAGCTTTTATTAAAAAGCTTTTCTAAAGTATTTATTAAAAAGATTTCCTAAAGCTTCTATTAAAAAGCTTTTATAAAATAGATTTTCTGAAGCTTTTCTAAAGCTTTTATTTCAAAAACTTGGCTAAAGCTTTTATTAAAAAGCATTTCTAAAGCTTTTATTTCAAAAACTTGCCTAAAGCTTTTATTTAAAAACTTGTTTAAAGCTTTTAAAGGTTTTACTTAAGCTTTTAGTTGAAAGCTCTTTTCAAAGCATTTCTTTAGAAACATTTACATATGTTTAAGCTTAAATTTTAACTCATTTCTTAAGCTTTTGCTAAGTTATTTCTCCAAAAATATATTTCATTCGTTGTAGTTTGCAAATCCATACATTTCACATTTTAGAGAATGCTTTTAGAATCAAAACAAGTGAAAGCTTTTTTAGAGACCATTTTATTCATCTTCATTTGTTTGTCTTTCATTGTCACATTTTTCATAAAAGTAGGTTTCAGTTTTGGCACTCATTTTATATGTTTAGCATGGTTTTAGTTAAAACTGCAATGGAGAGCTTTAAAAGCTCTCTTTATACACTAGTCATGCTTTCATTTATATTACAAGCTTTTAGTTTTACATTTCTTTTTATTTAGTGTGATGTTCTATATAATTATTATAAGGTTTTAGACGAATATTGAAGAAAAAAACTTATTACACAAAAGTTTTCAAAGGTCTTATGAAAAGCTTACATATTACATATTAAAGTTTTTAGGGATTGCAAAAAGCTTTCTGAATAATTTATTACTAAATCTAGCCTTTAAAGTGTTTAGCTTTAAAACAAAACTTTAGTAAACAATTTGTCTTAAAAAATATTTATAGAAAGTATTTTTTTTTAAATCTCTTAAATAAAGCTTTTTCGTTAATTTTTTTTAAAAACTGAAATTGAAAATAGCAATAATTTTCTTTTCAGAAAAGCAATGAGTTTTTATAAAAGCTTTTGTAATGAACATTTTAGAATGGCTTTTTAGAAAGCTTTTACAGTGAGCTTTTTAGAAAAAAATTTATAATGAAGTTTATAGGAAAGCTTTAACTATGAGCGTCTTAGAATGAGCTTTTTAGAAAAGCTTTTACAATAAACTTTTTAGAAAAGTTTTAACAATAAGCTTTTTAGAAATGCTTTTATTATGAGTTTTTAAGAAAAGCTTTTTTCAAAAGCTTTCACAACAAGCTTTTAAGAAAAGCTCTTATAGTGAGCTTTTTTAGAAAAGTTTTACTATGAGTTTTTACGATAAACTTTTTTACGAAAAGCTTTTTTCAAAAGCTTTTACAATAAGCTTTTAGAAAAGCTTTTACAATGAGTTTTTTTTTTATAGAAAAGCTTTTACAATAAACTTTTTAAAATAGCTTTTACAATGAGTTTTCTTTATAGAAAAGCTTTTACAATAAACTTTTTATAAAAGCTTTTACAATGAGATTTAGATCAAAAAGCTTTTACAATAATTTTGTTATACAGTTTTTTAAAGAATCCTCGGAAAAATAAAAAGTAGCTTTTATAGTGAGCTTTTTAGAAAAGCTTTTAAAATAAGCTTTTTATAAATGCTTTAATTATGAGTTTTTAAGAAAAGATTTTACTATAAGTTCTTAAGAAAAGCTTTTTGTACAAAAGCTTTTATAATGAGCTTTTAGAAAAGCTTTTACAATGAGTTTTTTTTATAGAAAAGCTTTTACAATAAACTTTTTAAAATAGCTTTTACAATGAGTTTTTTTATAGAAAACTTTTGACAAAAGCTTCTACAATGAGATTTAGATCAAAAAGCTTTTACAATAGTTTGGTTATACATTTTTTTAAGGAATCATCGGAAAAATAAAAAATTGCTTTTTAGAAAAGCTTTTTAGAATAGCTTTTACCATAAGCTTTTTAGAATAGCTTTTACAAAGAGTTTTTTATACAAAAGCGTTTACAATAAATTTGTTAGAAAAGCTTTTACAGTGTGCTTTTTAGAAAAGCTTTCACAGAGAGCTTTTTCAGAAAAATTTTTTACAATAGCTTTATTAGATATTTTTTAAGGAATTGTCTGCAAAACAAAAAGTAACGTAAATTAAACAATTTGAAAACTTTTGTGTTTAAAAAGCTTTTAGTTTTAATTATACCTTAAAAAAGCTCGTTGGTTGTGTGATGTGTTTTGTTTTTAATCTCTAAATGTTTATTTTATTTTCCACTGTGTTTTTTTTTTTTGTTCATACAATTCTCATCAAATGTGTATTATTTTTTATTTCTCTTTCTATGCGCAAAAAAAAATTATATTACAGGATTCTGTGGATTCAACCACATTAGCATCCTTAAGTCAGGTAATAATTTAAAAAAACAAATTAAACATTTCTTTTGTTAAATTGGGTTTGTTTAAAGGTTTTTTTTTTTTTTTTTTTTTGTTAAACAACATTTTTTCATATAAACAACAACATCACATTAAAAAAAAACAACATAACACACATTTATTTTAAGGAAAAAACTAATATTTTTTTTGGGTTGAGGTTTTATATTTGTTTTAAAGGTGAAAGTTTTTTTTGGATTTTTTTTAGAAAATAAGTTTTTTTTTTGGTTTGTTATTAATAAAATAAATATTTTTGTTTTTTTTTTAATTTTTTTTATAAACTTAGTTACAACAAGCCTTCCAGGAGAAAGAGGAAGAAAACACCCGCCTTAAACATTATATCGATACAATATTATTAAATATTGTGGAAAAATGTCCTCAATTATTGGAAGTTAAAGCCATAAATAATAAATAATAGTTATTAATTAATTATATTAAAAAAAACCCTAAGAAACTTTATTAAGGCCAATTTATTATTAAACTATTTTTTTAAACAAAATCAAAATGAGAACTTTTTATTAAGAAATTATTAAACATTTTATAAATAAGCAATATTATTAATAATTTACAAAAACTAAACTTAATCCCTTAAAGTTTGATTTAAACTTGGTTGAAACTTAAAATTATCTAATTGCAAGAAGTTTTGTCATCTAAACCTTTGTTCCAAAAAGTTTAAGTTACTTCAAGTTTAAGTTAATCTTCCCTTAAGCTTCTTTTATTTTAGTTTTTAAAAAACCCCCTTGATATTTATGCTTTTGTAAAGAATTTATTTATAAATATTTAACCTTAACTTCCTGAAAAAAAGAGATTTATCTTATAGAAATCTGTTTTCCCTTTAACACCCTCTCAAAAATGACTTAAGCTTTTTATTATTAAAAAAATATATATATTATTAAATTCTTAGTTTTAAAAACAAAATTTAATAAAAAAAACCTTAAACTTGTTAGATTTTTTTTTAAAATAGTGTATAAATTAAAACAAAATTTTTATTTAAATGTTTAAAATTTTCTCTTAATTATTAAAGATTTTCCTTTTTAGACTTTATTTATTAAATATTAAGTTTATTATTATTATTTTTGGTTTTTCTTTAAAAACTTTATTTTCTTTTTTTTGTTTTATTTTAAAAGCTCCTTGTAATATATATAAACTAATTTTTTAAACCTAATTGTTAGTCATAAATAAAATTAATTATTATTATTATATATAAATAAAAACTATAAAGTATATTATTATTATTAATAAAATATGTATAATTTTTTTAATAAAAACAAACTAAAGTATGATTTTATTTTTTTATAATTTTAAAGTTTTTATCAAAATTTATTTTTTTATTTGTTTCTAAAACTTTTAAGTATTTTATGTAACAATTCAAGTACTTTGTTAGACTAGGGCTATAGTTTAGTTCAGTTCTAGTTCAGTTCTAGTTTAGTTCTAGTTCAGTTCTAGTTCAGTTCTAGTTCAGTTTTAGTTCAGTTCTAGTTCAGTTCTAGTTCAGTTCTAGTTCAGTTCTAGTTCAGTTTAGTTCAGTTCTAGTTCAGTTCTAGTTCAGTTCTAGTTCAATTCTAGTTCAGTTCTAGTTAGTTCTAGTTTAGTTCTAGTTCAGTTCTAGTTCAGTTCTAGTTCAGTTCTAGTTCAGTTCTAGTTCAGTTTTAGTTCATTCTAGTTCAAGTTCTAGTTCAGTTCTAGTTCAGTTTCTAGTTCAGTTCTAGTTCAGTTCTAGTTCAGTTCTAGTTCAGTTCTAGTTCAGTTCTAGTTCAGTTCTAGTTCAGTTCTAGTTCAGTTCTAGTTCAGTTCTAGTTCAGTTCTAGTTCAGTTCAGTTCTAGTTCAGTTCTAGTTCAGTTCAGTTCTAGTTCAGTTCAGTTCAGTTCTAGTTCAGTTTCTAGTTCAGTTCTAGTTCAGTTCTAGTTCAGTTCTAGTTCAGTTCTAGTTCAGTTCTAGTTCAGTTCTAGTTCAGTTCTAGTTCAGTTCTAGTTCAGTTCTAGTTCAGTTCTAGTTCAGTTCTAGTTCAGTTCTAGTTCAGTTCTAGTTCTAGTTCAGTCTAGTTCAGTTCTAGTTCAGTTCTAGTTCAGTCTAGTTCAGTTCTAGTTAGTTTAGTCAGTTCTAGTTCAGTTCTAGTTCAGGTCTAGTTCAGTTCTGTTCAGTTCTAGTTAGTTCTAGTTCAGTTCTAGTTCAGTTTAGTTCAGTTCTAGTTCAGTTCTAGTTCAATTCTAGTTTAGTTCTAGTTCAGTTCTAGTTCACTTCTAGTTCAGTTCTAGTTCACTTCTAGTTCAGTTCTGGTTCAGTTCTAGTTCAGTTTCTAGTTCAGTTCTAGTTCAGTTCTAGTTCAGTTCTAGTTCAGTTCTAGTTCAGTTCTAGTTCAGTTCTAGTTCAGTTCTAGTTCAGTTCTAGTTCAGTTCTAGTTCAGTTCTAGTTCAGTTCTAGTTCAGTTCTAGTTCAGTTCTAGTTCAGTTCTAGTTCAGTTCTAGTTCAGTTCTAGTTCAGTTCTAGTTCAGTTCTAGTTCAGTTCTAGTTCAGTTCTAGTTCAGTTCTAGTTCAGTTCTAGTTCAGTTCTAGTCAGTTCTAGTTTCAGTTCTAGTTCAGTTCTAGTTCAGTTCTAGTTCGTTCTAGTTCAGTTCTAGTTCAGTTCTAGTTCAGTTCTAGTTCAGTTCTAGTTCAGTTCTAGTTCAGTTCTAGTCAGTTCTAGTTCAGTTCTAGTTCAGTTCTAGATTCTAGTTCTAGTTCAGTTCTAGTCTAGTTCTAGTTCAGGTCTAAGTTCAGTTCTAAGTTCAGTTCTAGTTCAGTTCTAGTTCGTTCTAGTTCAGTTCTAGTTCAGTTCTAGTTCAGTTCTAGTTCAGTTCTAGTTCAGTTCTAGTTCAGTTCTAGTTCAGTTTCTAGTTCAGTCTAGTTCAGTTCTAGTTCAGTTCTAGTTCAGTTCTAGTTCAGTTCTAGTTCAGTTCTAGTTCAGTTCTAGTTCAGTTCTAGTTCAGTTCTAGTTCAGTTCTAGTTCAGTTCTAGTTCAGTTCTAGTTCATTCTAGTTCAGTCTAGTTCAGTTCTAGTTCAGTTCTAGTTCAGTTCTAGTTCAGTTCTAGTTCAGTTCTAGTTCAGTTCTAGTTCAGTTCTAGTTCAGTTCTAGTTCAGTTCTAGTTCAGTTCTAGTTCAGTTCTAGTTCAGTTCTAGTTAGTTTCAGTTCTAGTTCAGTTCTAGTTCAGTTCTAGTTCAGTTCTAGTTCAGTTCTAGTTCAGTTCTAGTTCAGTTCTAGTTCAGTTCTAGTTCAGTTCTAGTTCAGTTTCTAGTTCAGTTCTAGTTCAGTTCTAGTTTCAGTTCTCGTTCAGTTATAGTTCAGTTCTAGTTCAGTTCTAGTCAGTTCTAGTTCAGTTCTAGTTCAGTTCTAGTTCAGTTCTAGTTCAGTTCTAGTTCAGTTCGAGTTCAGTTCAGTTCTAGTTCAGTTCTAGTTCAGTTCTAGTTCAGTTCTAGTTCAGTTCTAGTTCAGTTCTAGTTTCAGTTTCAAGTTCAGTTCTAGTTCAGTTCTAGTTCAGTTCTAGTTCAGTTCTAGTTCAGTTCTAGTTCAGTTCTAGTTCAGTTCTAGTTCAGTTCTAGTACAGTTCTAGTTCAGTTCTAGTTCAGTTCTAGTTTAGTTCTAGTTCAGTTCTAGTTCAGTTCTAGTTCAGTTCTAGTTCAGTTCTAGTTCAGTTCTAGTTCAGTTCTAGTTCAGTTCTAGTTCAGTTCTAGTTCAGTTCTAGTTCAGTTCTAGTTCAGTTCTAGTTCAGTTCTAGTTCTGTTCTAGTTCGTTCTAGTTCTGTTCTAGTTCTGTTCTAGTTCTGTTCTAGTTCAGTTCTAGTTCAGTTCTAGTTCAGTTCTAGTTCAGTTCTAGTACAGTTCTAGTTCTGTTCTAGTTCTGTTCTAGTTCTGTTCTAGTTCAGTTCTAGTTCAGTTCGAGTTCAGTTCAGTTCTAGTTCAGTTCTAGTTCAGTTCTAGTTCTAGTTCAGTTCTAGTTCAGTTCTAGTTCAGTTCTAGTTCAGTTCTAGTTCAGTTCTAGTTCAGTTCTAGTTCAGTTCTAGTTCAGTTCTAGTTCAGTTCTAGTTCAGTTCTAGTTCAGTTCTAGTTCAGTTCTAGTTCAGTTCTAGTTCAGTTCTTAGTTCAGTTCTAGTTCAGTTCTAGTTCAGTTCTTAGTTGCAGTTCTAGTTCAGTTCTAGTTCAGTTCTAGTTCAGTTCTAGTTCAGTTCTAGTTCAGTTCTAGTTCAGTTCTAGTTCAGTTCTAGTTCAGTTCTAGTTCAGTTCTAGTTCAGTTCTAGTTCAGTTCTAGTTTCAGTTCTAGTTCAGTTCTGTCAGTTAGTCAGTTCTAGTTCAGTTCTAGTTCAGTTCTAGTTCAGTTTAGTTCAGTTCTAGTTCAGTTTCTAGTTTCAGTTCTAGTTCAGTTCTAGTTCAGTTCTAGTTCAGTTCTAGTTCAGTTCTAGTTTCAGTTCTAGTTCAGTTCTAGTTCAGTTCTAGTTCAGTTCTAGTTCAGTCTAGTTCAGTTCTAGTTTCAGTTCTAGTTCAGTTCTAGTTCAGTTCTAGTTCAGTTCTAGATTCAGTTCTAGTTTCAGTTCTAGTTCAGTTCTAGTTCAGTTCTAGTTCAGTTCTAGTTCAGTTCTAGTTCAGTTCTAGTTCAGTTCTAGTTCAGTTCAGTTCTAGTTCAGTTCTAGTTCAGTTCTAGTTCAGTTCTAGTTCAGTTCTAGTTCTGTTCTAGTTCAGTTCTGGTTCAGTTCTAGTTCAGTTCTAGTTCAGTTCTAGTTTAGTTCTAGTTCAGTTCTAGTTCAGTTCTAGTTCAGTTCTAGTTCAGTTCTAGTTCAGTTCTAGTTCAGTTCTAGTTCAGTTCTAGTTCAGTTCTAGTTCAGTTCTAGTTCAGTTCTAGTTCAGTTCTAGTTCAGTTCTAGTTCAGTTCTAGTTCAGTTCTAGTTCAGTTCTAGTTCAGTTCTAGTTCAGTTCTAGTTCAGTTCTAGTTCAGTTCTAGTTCAGTTCTAGTTCAGTTCTAGTTCAGTTCTAGTTTAGTTCTAGTTCAGTTCTAGTTCAGTTCTAGTTCAGTTCTAGTTCAGTTCTAGTTCAGTTCTAGTTCAGTTCTAGTTCAGTTCTAGTTCAGTTCTAGTTCAGTTCTAGTTCAGTTCTAGTTCAGTTCTAGTTCAGTTCTAGTTCAGTTCTAGTTCAGTTCTAGTTCAGTTCTAGTTCAGTTCTAGTTCAGTTCTAGTTCAGTTCTAGTTTAGTTCTAGTTCAGTTCTAGTTCAGTTCTAGTTCAGTTCTAGTTCAGTTCTAGTTCAGTTCTAGTTCAGTTCTAGTTCAGTTCTAGTTCAGTTCTAGTTCTAGTTCAGTTCTAGTTCAGTTCTAGTTCAGTTCTAGTTCAGTTCTAGTTCAGTTTTAGTTCAGTTCTAGTTCAGTTCTAGTCCATGTTCTAGTTTCATGAAGAAAAAATACTTAGTACGTGATTTAAATATAATTTGACTAAACTGGATAGTAGAATTTCTC